AACACATCTTACATTCAAGTTGAAATACACAACAGATACACTTTATGTTTTTAACTATCAGTTTAACTGTTTTCAACCACTTCTAACAGTTATTATTAAGTTATTTTTAACATGAACATGAACAGATATTGCAGTCAGCATGTAGCAGCACTACAGCTAATGAAACAAATTAAATAACTAACACGTGGTGTTAGCCGTTAGCTTCTGCTAGCGTTTAGCATCAACTCACAGTTAGCTCTAGCTAGCATCGCTAACTCGCGATTAGCATAAGCTAACGATCTTATTACAATGGTTTAACAATGATACAATGTGCACCAAAGTACATCAAAAACATTAGACATCACTTTCATAACCCCGATTGGTTTTTAAATTAAATGTATCTTATATAAACAACAAAAACTGACTGTCATTGTCATATTAGCAGGCTAGCCCTTCATTGCTAACAAGGAGCTAACAGCCTCATCTCAACGGAGTTTCTAAACTTATAAGACGACACAGGCTGTCGTCTTCTAGTTCGGGTTCACACAGGGGTTCTTGCAGGTCAGAGTTTGTCAACTGATATAGTTGAGAGTACAAATAACACTTTTTAAATACTATTACTATACTAGGAGCTGCTCAACTTATGTCACTGCGTCTTCAGGGTGTTCACAGGGAAAAAGAGAGAGAGAGAGGCGGAGTGATTCGCGCCACTCATTACCCTGGGTGTACATTCTAGATTGCTCCGTGCAGAAGCAACATGTATTCATACACCTAAATGACATAAAGGGGTCTAGTAGCCCTATATGGGTTACACTAACAATGACATTATTGTTCTATTAATATAAAGGGAGGTCAGGTACTCTTTAAAACAGCTGCTAGTTATGGGTACTTTTTACTTAAGTACATTTCAAAGCCTCTTTACTTTTACTTGAGTAAAGAAGTTTAGTCAGTAGGCCTACTTAAACATTAAACACGAGTATCTGTACTTCTACTTGAGCAAAGGATGTGTGTACTTTTGTCATCTCTGTAAATAAAACAAACAACTAACTAACTAACTAACTAACTAACTAACCCCAGACGGTTAAAATGCTCTGGTGCAAGTGTCATGCATTGTAACAACCTCAATCTCTGCCTCTCTGACTGCAGACTTCCAGAGGTGACCCGTCTTGACCTGAGCTACAACCCGATGACGTACCTGGGAGAGGAGGTGGTTTCCATGAAGAAACTGACGCACCTCTTCATGGATCACATGTCCCTGCAGGACCTGGACCCCACGGCCTTCTCCAAATCCAGCAAACTGGTGCACCTGGACCTCGGTCACAACCAGCTGAGAGTCCTGCAGCCTTTCTCCGAGGGAACGTCGTCGCTGGCTCGCCTCAACCTGGCCGGGAACCCTCTCTCCTGCAACTGCTACCTGCGTCCTCTCAGGTAAACAAACACTTGAAAAGGAATATTTAGGGGACAATGTAGGGGGTCTATTAAGGGATGTTTGCCATGAGTCTTTTTTTTTCTTCAAAAGCATCACAGGGTTTCCTCCGAGAGAAATAGTGTTAAGTATTATTATTTGATGACGCCCTTAGTCTGTGTACTACGGTAGCAGTCGCACTGTTATTCTGTTCTTGTATGAAGGTACGTCCTAATGTGACGTCACTACGTTGACTAGGTACGTCCTAATGTGACGTCACTACGTTGACT